TCTTACTGTTACATCCCCGGGCAACGCTGAACTCTACTGCTAGTAATTGATAAAAAGTTAATATCCATAACAGACTGGTAAAGTATGATCTATGATGTAAAATAATTGGATAAATCAGTATACATTTGTTTATTTCCTAAATTTAATAATTAATCATAATCCAAAGAAGAATCAGCAATATTACTGGTCCTGATCTGGCAGCTCGGCTTCAGTCATTTTCCCACCGCCATAGAGTTGCCTCTCTGTGCCTTTTCTATAAATGTTTACATGGTAATTGTTTGGATGAGATCTTTGCTATGGTAACTAGACTTCATGAATTTAAGCAGGCACTAAACTGGCTTTGAGATCTCATCAATTTACAGTTGATCTGGCTAGATGTAGCTGTAAGTTTTACGCTAATAGTTTCTTTTCTCTCACATCTCACTTGTGGAACTCCCTTCCAGCTTCATGCTTTCTGGCCAACTTTAATCTTCAAAAATTGAAATGCAATGTCAATCGCTATCTACTGTCACCCATTTACTCTTTTCTTTTTCCACTCATTATTGTTTCTGTTCCTAATTCTTTCACACCCTGTAACAACTTTTGCTTTAGTGGCTTGCATAGGGTGATACCAATTAAAATACTAAAAAAAAATAAAATAAAACATTTCTAAACATTTTATGGCAAACGACAAAATCAGTTAAAGAATCAATTCTTATTCCAAACTAGCAGCATGGCCCGGCGTTGCCTATGCTTGATTCAAAAATCGTACAACTCATATAGCAATCGCTATCACTTGACTTAAAATATTTTTGCCCTTCCTTGCCTTTAAAGGAGCGCCCTTTGCCATGCTGATGTTGCTACATGCCTTACTTCTTGCCTATCTCACACTGCTAATTTTTTCTAAGCTCTATACGAAACATTAAATCTGTTACGAAAAAAGAACTAACCAAAATGAACACAAAACGATCAGCTTTAAAAAAGGACTCATAACTGGAAAAACTGAATGAAAAAAGAAAGTTAACAACAAATACTTTTTCACACCTAACCCAGTTCTGTGGAATCAGAATCAACGTTGAGTTTAAGCAAGCAAATGAGCCAATTGGAGTAAAGTGCCATGCAGATTTAAATTTTTCCCACTTGTGACGAATGCAGCTATCGATTTTTTTTGCAGGCTAGTATGCTAGTTAACATTTGTGTCAGTAAGCTGTTGGCTCTCACACTGGCCAATAGAATCTTCTTGCCTATTCGTGGCAGCCAGCTGTTGGCTTTCACTCTGGCCAGTAGAAAATGGCCGCAAACTACATGAAAACTGCTGTAGAAGCATGAAAAAATCGATTATTTCCACTATCAATGGGAGTTGGGAAATGCAAAGTCAGTCTTGGCCTACCCGCTAACTTGGAGCATGTGTATGTAAATTTTGGTGAAAATTGCGGCTGTGCATTCATTACACACACACACACACACACACACATCCTGCCTTTTTATAGATAGAGATGAAGGTGAGAATAACTCAAAAGAGAGCTAGACTTCTATCTAAGATCAACCCTCTTTCTTCACAGATGAAGAGGATACATGAAGCAGGAAATGTAGTTCTACAGAGAATACCATCAATGGAGCCAGGCAAGCAACAAGAAAGTTTTAAGGAAAATAGAAACAAAAAAGGACACTTATACTTAGAATAAGAAAAAAAAAACAGTCGAAACTTCTGGAATAGATAATGAGGTAAATTCAATACAGAAAGGACATATTGAAGAAAAAAGAGGAGAGAGAAACAGCAAGTAACTTATCTAAGAAGTTTTTATAAAAGGATAATAGAACACAGACTAGAAGAGATAGTAAATAGACACATTATTAAGAGCTACAACAGAGAGGAAGTTGTGAAGAACCATGATTTCCCAGATCTTGAGGCTTAAATGAGAAGAAAAAAATAGTGATGTGGTTCTACAGAAGGATGCTGAGATTAATTGAAAAATTTGCTCACAAATGAAGTGGAGTTTTAAAAAAACGGTAATGTGGTTCTACAGAAGGATGATGATCATACCATGGATGGAGCAAGCAAACCTCAAGGAAGTTTTAATGAAAATCAGCAATTTAGAATCAGAAAGAATTGAAATTTCTGAGACAAGTAAATATATAAGAAGTTTATATAAATGGATAATAGAAAAGAGTCTGGAAGAGGTAGTAAACAGACAAATATTAAGAACTACAATGGATATGAAGTTGTGGAGAGCCATGATTGCCAAGATCCTGATGCTTAAATGAAAAGTAAAAATTTGCTACCACATCTAGGACGGATCTTCCCAAGCCTCACTTTCCAGCTTTGTGCTTGCACAGCCTTGTGGGTGATGTAGTGTTTTCCAATCTTTCTCACAGATAAAATGTTGCTAGCAAAAGAATGAACCCAGAATGCAAATTACAAATCGGCAATACCAAAATCAAACAAGGACAAAAATTTAAATATCTGGGAAGTGTTCTAACAGAGGGCAGAAGATGTGAACTGAAATCTGAAGACGCATTGGGATGAACAAAGATACCTTCCAAAAGCTAAGCTATGTATTAAGAGACAGAAAAACTTTATTAGGAACAAAAAAATGAATAACTGTTATGTGATATCTGTCCTACTGTATTTCAGTGAATGCTGAATAATTTCCTGACAGATAAAGAAGAAACTTGAAGCAACAGAAATGTGGTTCTACTGAAAGATGCTGAGGATACCATGGACCAAACATGTGAGCAACGATGAGGTTTTAGAGAAAAGGAAAACAAAAGGAAACTTATACTTAACATCAGGAAGAGACAGTTGAAATTTATGGGACACATAATGAGGATGGAGGGCTTGGAAAATCTTTACTCACAGGATGGACTGAGAGCAAGAGGGATAAAGGAAAACAATTCATAACATATTTGGCAAGTTTGAGAAAATGGATGGCAAAACAAGGTTTAGAAATGAAAAGACAGAATTTAATTAGAGCTGCCAGGGACAGGAAATTGTGGAGAGCCATGATAGTCTACATTCCAATGGAACATGTCACATAGAGAGAGAGAGAGAGCTTCTTGCTATTCTATCCCCAATTTCATGGCAGATGTTCAAATGAGCTATAGTCCTTGGTTCTACCAGTCCAGACTTTCACAACTAGGACCTACCAAGCCACATACACTGAATTCATTCCTCCTTGTTCCCTTCATATCCCAATTGTGAGGATGAAGCTTCACTCGGTCAGCATCTTCTCCAGTAGGGTTGCTTCATGGAACAGATTTCTCAAGAGATACTTACCTGATCATGATAATCTTAATCTCTTCATGTCTAGGATCAACTGTTATTTATTCTTTATATTGTCATAATATTGCACCTTTTTCCCCCTCCTTGTATACACTTACAACAGTCTCATGTAGTAACCCTCTACCTAGAATGTCACTTAGGCCATGTTTCAGGTGAACCAACAAAGCAACTTCAAAGTTCTGAATTATGAAGTCTCTGCATTGTTATTACTCATCTTCTTGAGAAGGAAAAAAAATTAAAAGAAATGACATTCGCTTTCAATTCTTCTTTTTTTTATTTTTCTAGTAACAGTTGCAAGAACCGTTTGCACCTAGCTTCAGTAAATGATGTCCGTCTCTCAGGCAAATAGTAATTAGTTCAGTCTAGTAAATCATTTCAGACTGAATTAAATCTAAAGAAAATCAACTACTGTCTGAGACAAGAAATTATTCATGAGCTTTAAAGAAAATGTTCTATATGCAGACTGAACATCAAGGAAACGATAATTAAAATAACTTATTACCCATGTGGAGATTTTCAAAATGAACTGGAGATAATAGTATTTTTAAAGATGCCTTTCAAAAGCTAAGCAAAGTATTAAGAAACAGCAGAAGTTTGTTAGAAGCAAAGAAAAGAATGCTAAACTGTTAAGGATGCTGAGAATACTATGAACTGAACATGTGAGCAACAGTAAAATTTTAGAGAACATGGAAGCAAAAAGGACACTTACACTTCAAATCAGAAAGAGATAATTTATATTTCTCAGATACATAATGAAGAAAGAGGGCTTAGAAAATTTGACACTCACAGGGCATATTAAAATTAAGAGGGACAACATATAACTTACCTAGTGAGGTTGAGTAAATTGATAGTTAACACGGTTTAGTAAATATAACAAAAAGACAAAATTTATTAAGAGCTACAAAGGACTGGAAATTGTGGAGGGCTATGATCACCAACATCCAGAATGTATATAACATAGAAGAAGAAGAACATCTTGGTGGAAGCTTTTCATTGCTATTTGCGAGTTATTTTATTTTAATTCAAACAAAGCAGAAGACAAAATTATGTGATCATTACAACCAGATATTTATCGATATATAGATGTAACCCCATTTTGGTTGTTGGTAAATAATAAGGGATTTTGAATATCAAAAACGATATACTGACAAATAAACTATCATGAAAAAGATTAATGAATATCAACGATAGACTGATAAACAATTTGCTCCGAGAGAATCGAAAATTCTAAAATGAATCAAATGGCTGGCTAAGAACAATACTTAATTGTACAATGGGCAAGGTGTTGACAATTGGTTGATAACACCTGCAGTGTGTCCATGGAATCAAGATGAGGAGAATTGGATAAAATTTAAATGCCAGCTGGAGGTGAAAAGGTTACTTAGGAATGTTTCTGATGTGAGCCAAAGGACATGAGAGCCAGGTGTCCAGTATCTGATTTTGGACAAGAAGGAAATATAAAACTGAATCTCTCTGCAGAAGTGTTAGGATTGAAAAAATAACTACCTGATTTATGTCTTTTTTAATAAAAACACATGGCAATAATATCTTGACATTATGCCAAATGATTGTCACCATAATGTAAGCTGCAAGATTTTCCCTGGGAAAGCGTCTCTGGGTCGAGGGGGAGAAGGCCAATTGTTTATTCAACTTTCGGATCAGAAAAAGTCAACACTAGTATCAATTCACTTATGAAGTGATAGTATTTGGAACAATAATTTTTTTTTTAAATTATTCTTCACTGAATGGTTGAGGTGACAGGCACAGAAAGGAGATCAAGGAAAGAGGAGGAGGTGCCCGCAACCACTGAAGGGTACCAGGCACAGACAAGACACCAAGGAGGGTGAAGGAGCTGTCCATGCCCACTGAGGAGTATTAGTGGAAGAAGCTAAGAGGAAGAGGAGGAAGAAGCTGTGGGCAGAATAATGCCTACAACCATCACTCGAGAAAAAGGGGAAGCTTACAAATTGAGAAATAATTAATTTCCCAGGACCAAAATCAATGAAGATGACAGTACCAATTCCCCAACTGCATCACACTCCCACACCATTTTTTGGCAGACATCAATAAATACAAATCCACGAAGCTAATTCATGAAAGGGGAGAGAGATTGCTCGGTGAGTCCATTCCAGCCACCGAATGAGACAACGTACATGACTATCTGCTGACATGAACCCCTGACATCATTCTTGAGCCAAACTTACCAAGTCAGCTAAACAAACTTCACTAAGACTGCAATCCAAACCTTACCAGCTTAACCAAGTGTTGTGTCCGATTTCAGAAACGGGTTGGGTTGGCAAACATCTGCATGCTAACACCTAGACCCTAACAACTATTAACCAACCATTGTACACAGTACTTGATATAAAAATAGTATATATATATTTTTTTATATTATTTTGAGTATTGGACCAGCCAAATACGAAGATACCTATGACAAGTCAATCTTAGCCTCCTTATGATCAACTGAATCACAACATAAGGTAAGACAGGTCAGGATTGAAGAGATCACTCCATCGATCAGCCACGGTATTAGATGTCTTGGATGACCAGAGAGGGTATAGAGCTACAATTGGTTCCTGTGGACCATAAGATTGACTCTGAAGGTGTTACAAAATGATAATGCCCTAATAAAGTGGGTGAATTCAAACAATCCCTACATTGGTAAAAATATTATGTAAATATTATTAAGTATTTATTTATATTTTAGTTATGATACCACTTCATAAAATGTGTGATCTTTTCTTTTAAACAATCATTACCTCTGTTTAGCTACTGTCTATAATTTTGAGAAGCATTATCATTCCAAGAGTTATTGAACATTGTCATGCATAAAAATCATCTTTGCGAAAGTATTTGGTTCCACATGTGCCTTCAAAAAATGTTGTAAAATACAGCAAGTGTGTATTGAGATTGGGAGAAACACCTAACTGATTGCTTTCCAGATTGTAATAAACAGAGAAAGGAAAGAGATGGAAGGAAACAAAATGACATTGCCTCAAAATGCACAGCAACTTTAGGAACAAAATGCAATCAGGACCGACTTCAAAAGACAATGAGTCTTGCCAACTGCCCACCACTGGCTGCCAGTTTTCCCATCGCTTTTATTGACAGGAGACAGTTGACAGAAACCCAGATTTAGACAAGATGCACAGAGGCCTGTATCTGAACATGCCAAGCTTTTCCACTGCTAATGGGAAAAACTTTGATAACTGGTTTTAACAGACATGTCCACATGTCATTTGGGGCCTCTTTTGAATCTATACTGATGTGCACTCACCACAAAAAATTAATGTATGCCTTAACTGTCATCTTAACACCATCTTAAATTCACCATGGGGATACCACTTTATCACATATAATCTCATCTCAGAATGTCACACTACATCTGCCTTGGAGATGTCGAAACTTGTAAAGACAGTTCCTGGCAATAGCTATGCAAATTTTGCTCTGCCTGGACTATGAAGAGTAGAACAACAGTGACTGGTGAAAAAGAAAACAGTTTAAAAATCAGTCTTATGTCTTCATGTATTGCCCATTTCATTGGATTTCTTCATGGATGAGTTTTAAAAGAGTTCTAGTGATTGGTTTTGTCACTTGATTTAAGACCTGAAATCTTGTATTTTTTAACACTTTTTAACTGCAAAAACACTTAAAAATATAGTTTTGAGAAAGATCTTTTTATAACTTTTCTTTTGATATGGTACACAGATTAGCACAAGAAAATCCTCAATTGGTTCATATCAGACCTGCACCTGAGTTGATAGATAGTTAGGTAGATAGATAGAAAGACGTATGAGTTGACTGAGATAGATAGGTAGGTAGATAGATAGGTAGATAAATGGATAGATAGATAGATAGATGAACTGACTGAGATAGATAGATAGATAGATAGATAGATAGATAGATAGATAGATAGATAGATAGATGAACTGACTGAGATAGAGATAGACAGGTAGGTAGGTACATAGAAAGACAAATGAGCTGATATAGATAGATAGATAGATAGATAGATAGATAGATAGATAGATAGATAGATAGATAGATAGATTGATTTTCTGTTTTGCAGTGAGCTTTTAAAGTACATATATATGATTGTGTTTCTCTATGTTTGTCTTTTACAGGTAAAATTCTGTAGCCTAACCAATGCCAGATTTACTTACAGACTTAGCAGGCTGAAGCCAAGGGACTCAAAATTTAGTGGATCCCCAGACAAATTTTATAATATTTTTGACACTGTTATAGGCCTTTCTTATGCATGCTGTCATAAAGCACTGTACACTCTAAACAACTCTTCAGTAATTTTAAACATCCATCATCATCCTTGGCTTTACTCAAATTGTTTAATTGAACACTCTTCCATTTTCCTCTACTCATGAGAATGCAGGATTTTGAGGGACCTCACAAGTGGAATAGCCTCAGGTTTCCCTTCATCTAAATCAGGCCCTGAGCCTAAGTAAAATCAATACTAAATTTGTATAATTTTCTGCTCCTTTTCTTGTTGCTAGATTCATGTCACTGAATGTTCATATTACAAAATTTATGCTATAATTCAAAAAAGTAACTTTTCATGGAGCAATGTTTACAGTTACAGATCATTGTTATTTGAGTGAAATCCTTAAATAATTTACTCCATTTCTGACCTTGAACCAGACTATACCAAGCTTAGTAAACAAGTTTAGCAAAATACAAAAGAAGATTATAAATAAGTGCAACATTATATTGGAAAACTTATTTAATATTTTAAAATCAATATTTTTTAAAGGACACTTTCTACATTTCTTAAATTTCTAATTTTGTAGATTAATAATAAAATAATAGACTCAAAATTTTAAATTGTGTCTGCTACAATTTTCCTAAGTTTAACAAATGCTCCAAATAGAATTTCAATTTCTATGAATTTACAAATTAGGAATCTTGAATGTATAAGTGACCTCTATTCATTTAGTTTGGTTGACTTTAGGTTGGCCATGATTTCAAAGATATAAATCTGATATTTTTGCATCATAGTTTCTTTAGTAATTAACATAATAAGAAAGTAGAAAAAGATAGTAAAACACTGAAGAACAGACAAAAGATGAAAAATTAACAGTCAAGCAATATGCTTCTTTTTGTCATTTATATTTGAAAAGCAACAGAGAAGCCTATTCCTGTTATTTTGCTTCATGTTTAAATATTTGGAGTTATTATTTTAACAATGAAAATAATCATATTTACATCTATAAGTTTACCATTCACTCATGCTTAGAATATTGCTACCACATATGGTCCAGTGCCCCTGCTATTTACCTTGAGCTCCTTGATAAAATCAAAAGAAGAATCAGCAATATTATCGATCTTGATCTGGCAGCTTAGGTTGCTTGTCTTTGCTTTTTTTATAAATACTCTTATGGATCATTGTCTGGATGAGATCTTCACTATTGATACCTAGATTTTACAAATTTAAGCACAGTACAACATCTGATATCGAGATCACATCAATTTACAGTTGAGCTGTCTAGATGTAAACATAAATTCTATGCTAACAGTTTCTTTTCTCACACTTCTCACCTGTAGAACTCCCTTCCAGCTCCATGTTTTCCTGCCAAATTTAATCTGCAAAAATTTAAATGCAATGTCAATCACTATCTAATGTCCCCTTGATTACTCTATCCTCTTCCTCCTAATTATTAATATTTCTGTTCCTAATTCTTCCACACCCTGTAACACCTTGTGTCTTAGTGGCTTTACTGCCTTGCATGGGGTGATAACAATAAATTTTTTTTTTTAAAATACAGAAAAGATATTTCTGTATCTCAATGTATTAATTCAGAAACTCTGCAAGATGATAACAAAATGTGAAAATGTGTCAAATGTAAAATGCGAGACTTACATTTGATATCCTGTGTTTGCCAAATGTAAGAATGTAGCAGCTTAAAGATTCATTATTGCACAATTAATTTGATGGTCAAAAGCCAAATTTATAATTTACAAGCAAAATCTGCCCTGTCATTATCACCAGCTTTTGGCATATCAGGGACTGTGATGACAAGGCAGAGTGATGATGGATACCAATCTATAAAGTTATTCAAAATCATAACAATTTCCATAATTTATATAACAAAATCTTTGTTTTTCATTGTAATCCAATTTTCTTTATACAATACTAACAAACTTTTAGTAAACAGCTGTTAGATGTAAGTAAAGAACTATATATATATATATATATATGTAAGTAAAGAACTATATATATATATATATATATATATATATATATATATATAGTACAATGTAATATAATGTAGTAATAGGTAATGAGGTGTTGGTAGTGTAATTAATATTGTTATAGGAATTGAAAATGGCAAGTCAAATTCAAATTCAGTGCAACTGTGTTCGGTTAAATTTCACACTAATGTCTTTGGGAAAGGTTAAATTGCAGGTTATATATGAATTTCACACCATGCAGAACACAATGGGAAACAACTCCACTACCTTAGTAAAGAATGCATGGTAATTCATAGATAATAAAGAAACGGTATCTATGAAGAATCAGGATTACTTATTTCCTGACGTGATGTGGCATTTAAAAAAAAATAATGGTAATGATCCAAGAAAATTGGAATCAAGCTGGGCTTGAAAGTAACAGTAATTTTAAAGTACTCCCTCAGGATTTTTCTCAAGATCTGAGATTATGCTCATTATTCCATATAGAATTTTTTCAGTTGTTTGCTTTCAACTTTGTTGCTTTTTAACACAGTCTTTTGACAGGTATATTCTTCAGTATATGTTGTATTTAGTGCTGCTCTAGGCAAATAAAAAGATGGTGAAAGAAAGGAAAAAGTAAATTCTCAAGACTAGAGACAAAAACAAGAAAATATATTGGTTGAAATAAAAGCACAAAAGATTAATATAAGCTGAAAACTGTATGGAATATCATCCTGGAAATTGTTGAAAAATGTAGGAGAGGTTATATATACAGGTGCATTGTAAGCTCCACAATACAACAGATGAACTTTTAATAGAAGTATTTCATCATATAATATTTCATCAGTGAACTATTAAAAGGTTTAGTTCACTGACAATGAAAAAGAATATATTTTAAACTAAAATAGATTCTTTCTTTGGTCATTAGTCTGGAGACTTATTTTATCTATGAATTACAAATTTAATGCAGAAGGGATTGAGAAAAATTTATTTTTATGGAATAAATAAAAAGTTTTTGATCTAATTTATTTCTAAAAGTTTAACAAAATGAAAAAAAATTTTAGGATTCATTTCTTAGTTAGACTGAGAACTTTTCATCACTGTCACATATATCAGGTTTTTTTCTTAATTGTATAAGGTAACCAAAACAGTCTTTGCCATTTTTTACATCATGTGGGAAGAGGTCATCATTGATATGCAAATGAATGTATCCCATCCTGAGACAGTAGTGAACGTGTTTTTAATGTTCTTGACTAAAGACAGGTGTGTTGCACCCACACATCAGTCATAGCTCAAGCTGAGGTGAGTAAACATGATAGTGCCAAAGCTGCTCGTTCAGGGTAGTTTGCTTTATTACTTTGAGTAGGACTTGTCCACTGTTGCATCAAGTCCCTGAATATGTCAAGCCTTTGACGATAATGTTGTGAGTAAACACACAGTGAGGCACTGGTTCCAGAAGTTCAGATCGAGAGTTCTTTCTCTTTGTGATGAATCCCACAGTGGCCAACCACAGAACCTGGATGATGAGGACCTGAAGGTGGCTATAGATGAGGACAAGAGCCAAACCTATGGTGAGCTTGACGAACACTTCCAGCTTTCTGATGAAACAGTTGGACTTCACTTGCACTGCATAGGGAAGACGTACAAGTTAAGCAAGTGGCTACCCCCCCACATACCGTCAGAAGTAAACAAGCAACAATAAGTGACATCCTGTTTCTTGTTGCTTTCTTGGCACCACAACACACCTATATTTGATTGCGTGCTCACCAATGATGAAATGTGGGTCCTGTATGACATTCCCAAACATGCCAGACATTGGTTGTCACCACAGAACCCTGTGCCTCATACCATAAAACCACCTCTACACCCTCAAAAGATCATGTTATGAATCTGGTGAACTAGTCAACAAGTGGTGCTATCAACAGGCCAAATCATCACTGCAGAGCATATACAACAAGCACTGATGCAGAGGAACCAGCATTGGTTAATCAAAAGGGTGTACTGTTCCTTCATGACAATTCCAGGCCTCATGTGGCATAGGTGGCCAACCATATCAATACAGCAACTTGGCTGAGAGACACTGTGTCATCTACATTACTGCCTGGACCTTGCACCAACAGATTACATTGGTAAACATTTCAGGATATCGATGGGGATTACTTTGAAGACTAACGGTTTGTCAAATTTGGTGTATACCTTTCTTTTTTAATAAATCAAAAACAGCAAACACTTTTTTGGTTACCTTATGTAAAAAAGCTGAAGAATGTATTTTCATTCCTATCCTAACATAATATATCTGAGTAGCTTCTATTTTTCTGGACTTCCAATCATTTAAACAATAATACTGATATTCTTTTTCATTAAGATGAATGTATAGTTTTTATGGTATGGAATATGTAGGAGAGAAAGTGCTTAATATCAGAGACAGAGCATATGTAGACATAACCAGTATTGCCATAGGAATTAAAACTGGATAGTCTGATGATTGAATTTAAGCATGAACTGTTCATACCTATATCCACACTGCTTATATATAAAATTTTAATATACAAATCAATAAAAGTTGTATTAACCAATTGATATTGATAAATTTGTCAGGTTATGCTTATATTCTTTTCAGCTTAAAACAGCTTGGTTGGGAACTATTAAAAAAATGTCTTGTCCAAGAGCATGCAATATTTCTATGCACTTATCTTGTCACTAGCATCATTAACTTTGAAGCCACAAGTGTAATTTTAATACCTACAATACAAGCTCAAAATATTACTCCACCTTCCACCTTGTTGCCTTTTAAGTCATTATAACTGACAGTTTCCATGATGAACCCAACCTCTAATCCAGCCATCAGGTCCATATAGCACTATGATCATTACTAAAAGTTAAGGTTGAGAAATCAGTTTTCAT